CTGTGCGCACCTCTTCCCTGGCATCAAGAGCTCGGTGCTCTGCCTGGGTCCCCGGTTGCCAGAATTCTGAATGGCTTTGGTGAGTGGCATTGAGGCCTACCCCAGGTGGTTCACACTCAGGCTTGGGGGAAGGGGGAAGAGGAACTTGAGCACAGGCCTAACATTGGTGGCCTTGGGATGGGGGAGGGGTTAGAGAGGGGAGCTGGGCTCTAAGTAGGGGGAGGCCTGAAATGCATGTGCGCTGCAGGATCTCATGGGCCCGGGCAGTGCCCTGTTGTGCCGATCAGGGGAAATGAACGGGACCTGGAGGCAGACCGGACTCATCAGCATCAAGTCTCTTGCCTTTCTCTTGGCCCCTTACTTCCCATGGATCTCCAACACGTCTTCTGTCCAGACTGACCACATCCTGTTCAATCAGTCAATGAAGAGACTTGTCCCTGTCATATCAGGGGCAGGGGCCAGGAGCCCTCTTACTCCCCATGCTGTCTGTTGTTAGTGTTCCACTCGCCCCAACCAAAAGATGTGATTTCTAATACTTGAGTTCCCTCAACCACCTACTCCATTGAGGAAGGAAGCACATTCAGTGGGCCAGGTGTCAGGGGCCTCAAGATACCTTAGCACCTCAGGAAAGTGGCCTAGCTGCCCAAAAGGGAGCCCCGGTGCTGCTTTGCCTGAATCCCTCACAGCAATCTGCGGCCTGTAGTCCCGTTAGCAGAAGTGTCTCCTGGCTCTCTCTTGGGATGACGGATGGAAAGGAGTAGTCGGTTGGGTTTTTTGGATGTCTTTCATTTTGCCATCACAGTCAGTCATTTCTGGGTGTGCCCCCTCCTCTGGTTAACCTGAGGCAGTCTGTGCCTGAATTCCTCTGCCTCAGTGCATTTCGTTTCGTTCTGAGTGTTCTTTGAGTTTCCACTAGTGTAGTTCTAATTGTCTGGGAAGGGAAGGAGCATGTGTAGACCCTGGGCCATGTGCTTTGCAGGAGTGATCCCCTTGAAGCCATCTGCTGTCTGCTCTGCTTTCCTTGCCCTGCATAAGTTCATGTTCGTCTTCCCAAGATCCTCTGACTTCCTCCTATTCATCCTTCCACAGAAAGGGTTTGTTTGCTTTTGTGTTTTTCTGATTATCAACAGAACCTAAATTGCGGGAGGGGAGATTTGTTGAAAAGACCATCCCTTTTCTCATAACCCCCTCAGCCTTCCTCTCACCACCAAACGTAAGCAGAAGAGCCCAGGAATGTCACGCAGCTAAAACGTTATAAGAAAGACCACAGCATGCTGATCAAATTGGGACACGGCGTTGTGTGAATAGCCAGGACCTTTGAGGGTCACGTGGTGTGGCCTGCACAACAGCACAGTGGACAGAGCTCCTGGCCTAGAGTCAGGAAGACTCGTCGCCTCAGACGCTTCCTAGCTGTGTGACCCAGGGCAAGTCACTTCACCCTGCTTTCCTCAGTTTCCTCATCTGTAAAATGAGCTGGAGAAGGAAATGGCAAACCACTCGAATATCTCTGCCAAGAAAAGCCCAGATGGGGCCGTGAAGAAGGACTGAACAGCCTTTGTTTCATAATTCTAAAGAAGAGTGAAAAAGAGCAGGGAGGTTGTGGAGCAGGCAGAAGCCTTTGACCTTGGCAGGGCGGGCCCCCGAGAGACAGAGGGAGCAGCAGAAGCCTCAGCCACAGGACGCAGGCCGCGGAGGGTCAGAAGGTCCACGGCAGAGCCAAGTGACTGTTAGCAGCTTCCTGAGTCTGAGCTCAGCCATCTCACGGATGTCCACGAAGGACAGAACCGCATCAGGCTGTGTGGCCGGGAGGGTCCGAGCACTGCATGAGAGCAGAAGAGCCCTAACTAAGTGCCGGGTGGCTGGGGTCACAAAGCAGAGTCTGGCTGTTGGGGGCTTTGGGGTGACTCCATATCCAAACCAGCTTTGCCCCCATAGTTCACCTCTTAGCCCAGCCACTAGACGTGCGACGTGTAGCTATGTCACATGCAAGGGTCAAGGGTTGGCATGAAAGCCTTTGGTCAGGGGACTTGGCAGCTTGGTGCCTGGTAGAGCAATCGCAGGATGGGGCCCAGAATGTTGGAGCCAAAAGGGGCAGGGGACGGGCACCCTGGGATTCTTGGAGCTGGGGCTGGATCCAGGGCGGCTACAGGGGGCCTTCTCCCAAGGGCTCGTCTTAATGTTGAATTTGAGTGCATTGTGGAGTAGTGGAACAAAGGGTGAGAAACCTGCCCCAGTAGTGAGGCCCATCCATGGGTGAGCCTGCATGGCTCCCCGTCCCTTCCTCTTCTGCAAAGCCCTCTGCAGTCTTTGACCTCATGGGGCCACTTCCTTGCTTATGTGTGGTCTTCAGTCTCATCCAAGCCAAGGGAGTCAGTCAGCGCATGCCTCCTAAGTGCCAGGCACTGGGCTGAGCACCAGGGGATACAAAGAGAGGCAAAAGTCATCCAGTCCAGCAGAGGACCCCTGTTAATGCCGTGGTCCCAGGATCCTGGATTCAGAGTTGGAAGGAATGCTGCCTCCTTTTATAAATAAGGAAACTGAGGCCCCAAGAGGGGCAGTGACTGCCATGGTCACAGAGACAGTGAGCAGCCAGATCAGGCTGGGCAAACCCAGAGCCCCATGACAGGACATGGAGATGAGACTGGGGCCTCTACCTGCTTAGAAGCAAATGTTTGCATTTCTAGAACCCTGAGGACTGGAAGGAGAGGGGAGGGGGAGGGGGATGGGTGGTGGGAGGCATGAGGAGTAGTCATGGGGCCTTAGCACCTCATGGGGCTGAAAGGGACTTCAGGAAACTGAGGCCCAGGAAGGCTTTGTCAAAAACCAAGCTGAACAAGTCCCTTGGCACGGCCCACATTTTGAATCTCTGCCCCTTCTGTCCACAGCCACGAGGGTGGGGCCACCCTGCTTGTACCCAACTATAGTGAGAGAATTTGGGCTGCCGTAATCCATGGGGGACGGATCACTTTCTTCGCCCCCATTTCCAGTATAGTGACTTGTACTCTGTACCTCCGTGAAGATCCTGGAGAGGGGAAGGTTGGTGTTAGTTGGGGGCTCTTTTCTTTTCTGACTTTGCCAACATCCTGTGACCCCAGCAGTCTTGACACCACAAATCACATCTTTCCAGATGGATTGGCTTAAGAGAAATGAGCACATGAGACCTCACCGGCTGGTCCCTGAGACCAGCCTCTCTTTGTGGTGTTAAAATGAATCGCTTTACCCACCATTTGGTTCCCACTCCACTTGGATGCCCTTTAAGCCAAGGTCTGAGGCTTACTCATGTCTCTGTCCTCCATAGGCCTCATCACTCACTGTTGGCTGAAACAAGGGGTGACCAGTTCTCCCAGGTTCCAGCCTGTAATCCAGCTTCTCCTTGTCCAGAGAACGAATGTCCGTGCCGTCTGACCGAGCCGTCGCACTGCTGGGCACATGCTCCGAAGTCCTGAGACAAGAGAAGGTCCCCTCGCTGCAACACTTTCTGTAGCGGCAAAAATCTGGGCATGAAAGGGGGCCCAGAGAAATGCGGGGGAACGTAGGCAAGCAGAGGCAGGGTGAAGGAAGCCCGGCAGGAAGACATTGAGGGCCGCCAAGTAAGTGGAAAGGAGCGAGGACTGAAGCTGAAGGTACTAGGGTTGGAGTGACCAAGCTTGTCCTGGCAGAAAAGGAGGAAAGGGAGCTGCTTCTCCTCCTCCCAGGGTGAAGCCCTGCACGTCCTGCTGCTCGCTGGTGAAGTGCTGGTTAGTGTTTGGTGGTGGTGGTGGCTGGCGTAACTTTCCCCTCTGTTTGTTATCATGAGGGATGCCTGGGTTAGTAGGGGAGAGGAGCATATTCAGAAAACAAGATCAACTAAAGCGTTTCTAAAAGCAACCTCTCCTCCCCACCCCATCCCCCAAAGTGCCCCCTGCCACTGTTGGGACGTCTCTTCTGCCACGTCGGTTCAGAGCTCCCTGGCTCTGCCATAAGCTCCAGGCCAACTGCTACCATCTGCTGGCAGAACGCTGTCACAGCAGGGCACCCCAGATCAGCTTCCTTTACTAGCTCAAGTGAGTGAGTCATTTTTCTGTAGTTGAGAGATGACAAAGGAAGGAGAGCTGGGCTGCCGGTCCCCCGTCCTGGGGATGTTCAGAGGTGTACATTAAGACCGCTTAGCTGCTGTCCATCATAACCCACAGCCTCCTCTACTTGAGCTTCTGCCAGCCCTAAGTGATGGGATTCTGTGCTGGCATTTCAAAGGCCTTCCTGAGAAAATGAGACTGGTGAGGATCTGTCCACCCGGTCCACAGAGGGGAGTGCTTGGGGTCAGAGGGAAGAAGGCTGGAGAAGCCCTCTTCGTGTGTGGGCGAATTCCTCTTCTTCTGATGGGAAGGAGATGGCTGTGTCCCAGGAGGCAGGGAAGATGGGCCCATTAGGCTCTCAGTGATTGTGAAAAAGCAGCAGCATCTGCCAGGGCTTGGGCCAGCTTGGCAGCAGGGGATCCCACGGCAACAGCCGGTGATTTCTGAGTTGAGCAAGTGAGATGGCAGTGCCAAGGCGAGGAAGAGCTGGGGGGGCTGGGCCAAGAGGGTGCCGTGCAGCCGGTGACCCTGGTGAAATGCTGCTAATGAGACGTTTGTGTGTATCGGGGCCTTGCGTGTGCCAGGGCAGAGGGAAGCGGCTCACGGATACAATCCACGAGCCTACTCTGATTCTTTTTCACCCTGGTTAGACTGCTTGGGGATCTGAAATGCTTCTGAGCTCCTGCTAGTTTTTCATTTGCGTGGGGCTGTGGCCTTGGGTTCCTAACCTTCTAAGGACTTCTGAGGCTTGACCAGGGTGTCTCTGGCTTGGGGGAGAACAGGAAGATTTCCTTCTGACATTACTCTATAGTTTAGGATTTTGTCCAGGCTCTGGGAAAACATTAATGTCTTCCTTTATTGGAAAGTAAAGCATCATCAGAAAGGAAATTAATTCAGTAGGTATTTATTGAGCTTCTGCTATATTCTGACACCCATGGGGTGTGTGGGGACCTGGGGGGGTGGAGTATTCCATCTGGTTCCTACCCTCAGGAGGAAGGACAGGAGTTACCTGTGGGATCAGCTCGGGAGACCCTGCAGGGCTCAGGGGAGGCCCCTCAGGGTGGCTGTGACTCTGCCTGAGCCTTCTGCCCTAGACGAGGCTTAGTGGAAAAGTGCAGAAGTAGGTAGAACCCAGGAAATTAGACCACGGTCTCAGCTTTGTGTGACCTTGGACAGATCATTTCATCTTGATGATAGGATCATGTATCCAAGAACCAGAGGAGATTGTAGAGGTCAGAGTCCCGGGAAGTACCTACCACGTGTCAGGCTGTACTAAGCACTGGAATGACACAGAGAGGCAGAAAACCAGTCGTGGCTCCCCAGGAGCCCACATGGCCTTATGGGGGGACAGCCAATCAAACTGTCATCCAGCCCAGGCTTTCTGATTCCCAAGCTCCTCCCATCCCCATTCATTCCCCTTATTATGCTGTATCAGCAGCTGACCAATGGCTGGAGAGTCAGCAGTGCCTGGCTGTGTCCCCCTCGGCAGGCAAACCTCTCTTGGCTTTGGGCTGGTTGAGTCCCCAGCTCTGGAGTGGGAACGGCACAGAGTCACTGCCGGCTCCCCTCCCCAACTGGAGTGGGGGCAGCCTAGCTACAGAGAGGATTAAGAGGAAAAGAGAGAATAAAGCTGGGGTTAGGAGCTGCCCAGTGAGCTTCGGAAGTTGAGCACGTGTTTATTAAAGCCCTGCAGTGTGCCGGGCCTTGTGCTGGGTACAGGCCCTGGGGAAGCAGATGTCAAAGGGAGCCAGCCCTTGCTGTCAGGAAGCTTGCTGGCAGCAGCTCAGCTCATTCCAAACGTGTCCATCCATGTCAAAGGCCTGTTGGGTGAGGCGACCCCTGAAGGTCCTTCTGGCACCCTTAGAAGTCTGGTGCTGTGCAAATAGATGAATGGAACAAAAATAGCTCTAGAACAAGGTTTCTGGGCCCTGCCCAAGTTTTTTCAAGGAATATTAGCCCGGAAAATTCAAGACAGTTGAAGAATGTCAGAGGAGTTGGTTGTCATGGGATCTGTGGTGCCTGATGGACAGCAGCAGCAGGAGCTGGTGAGTTGTTCTGGACAATGTTGCCTTGATTCTCGGTGCAGATCTTTCAGTGAGCCACAGGAACGTGGGTGCCTGCCTTAGCACAGGCACTGATGTCTGACCAGCCAGCCTAGACGCTAGCACAGGGTGTCCCGTTGAGAGCCAGAAGAGACCCTACGTGGGGTTCAATACCACTCCCACCCCCAAGAGATTCATGGTACTGTCCGGTATCAACGTGTTTACTTACTAATGTAGCCAAGGTGTGCCTTTTTGCCAGAACATCTCAAGTACAAGTTTGATTTTTTTTAAACACCACCAAACAAAGAAGGCACAGAATTTCCAGCAGCATTAATTAAGTCAGTATAACAACGATTGACTGTCCCCTTGTCTCCTCCTCATCTTGGCTGGATTGACCCAGTTCAAAAATGTAGCTGGGCTTTTTTGGTGCTCTCCAGGGCCATGTTGCTCAGGGAATTCCAGAGGCATGCTGCCTAAAACAGCTCCCAAGTGTATAATAGATAAACCATAAGCAGAAAAAAACACCAGCTGATCTCCAATTGTAGTGAGGGAACATAAGGCGAGTGTCTGAATTTGGGGCAGCAAGGCCCTACAACATAGCTAAGCCTTTCTATCTTGCTTAGATTCTCTCCAAAGCAAAATGCTGGCCAGGCCATGAAGCTCAGTCCCCTTCTCTTGAGTTCCTTCAAGGTAGTTCCATATTATAATAGGAGTCTTTGGGGAACTCAGAGGGATAGGTCACCGTGGTTGGGATTTCCATCTGAAAGAAGCTCTTGCCATCTCCTTCCTCAGGCCAAATGAGAAAGGGCATTTGATAACCACAGAGTTGTAGGAACAGTGGGAGCTGGAGAATGACAGAGTTCATCTGTTGTATCCAAAGACAGTTCATCCACCCACACCCCAGAGGTGTCTTGGCCTGCTCCAGGTTCCTCATCTATAAAAAGAAGGCAGTGGACTATCTCTGGCTCTTTCAACCAGAAATCCTTCTTTCTTCAAGTCTGGCCCAGAATCCACAGTAAACACCTTAAATGGGGCCCCAGCCTAACTCTTTGGCCTTATTTCCCTTGTCGCTCAAGAGCCAATAGCGCTGCCATCTGAATAAGCTTTCTTAAGTAGCTGGAGCTACGATCCCATAGCTTGCCCCTGCCCCCTTCGTCAGCCCGGTATTGGGGTGGACACATTCAAGCAGTTCTCCGTTCTAGAGGTCTTCGGGTTGAAGCCAGATAATTATTTGTCGAGGAATTGGGGCATGGGGGTTCCTGCTGAAGTGTAGGGTAGACTGCATGCCCTCTAAGGACCCGCCCAACTCAGATTCTGTGAAACATTTGTTGAGGATAAGAAGTTCTGGTGATATTGGGATATAGAGGTCTTGGCTTTTATGGCCACTTGGCTGAAGCAGAAATGAGCAAGGAAGTGGATCCCTTTGGGGTTTTATGGAAAGGCCTTTTCAAGAATGAAGAGGACTGTAAAATTCCCCTCATTATCCTCCAAGAGGGAAAGGAAATCTCTCCAACCCAGTCCCAAATCATTGAACACCCCTCCTTGTCAGGGGCGCTTTCCTTCTCTTCTCTCTGCCTGGCAGTTAGTAAAGGTTTGTTGAAGCCATTGATGTGGACGCTAGGCCACTTCCTATTGCTTAAACGCCTTGAAGATCCCTGTGGCTTTGGATGCGAGGCTGCAGGTAAACATTCCAAAGGGATGTGAGGTCTCATCTTGCCAGGCAGCCAGAGGCCCTTCGGCAGCCTTGGCCACCTTCCACCTCCCTGAGAAGGTGGTATCGCCCACGATGGGCCAGATCTGACCTTCTTCCCACTGGGTCACAGTCCATCTCCCTGTGGCTCCTAGCTCTTGCTTGGAGGAAGCGTAGTCCCTCATCTGTCTCCCTGAAGAAAAGGACATTAGAGACGGGGCAATAACAAAAGGAAATTGCTATGTTAAACACAGTGTCTTGAACATTTAGCTTTTTTTGAGAACCTGCCTTAATTACAGTCCATTTACCCTGGAGCTCAGAGGTGGCTGATGCTGGCCTCCCCTCTCAGAGCTTTCCAACTGAAAGAAGCACCAGCGATCGGGACCTGAGGGTCAGGCTACTGCTTAGCTGACAGGTGCCCAGTCTTCACTTGAAACCGCTTCTCCCTCTCCTGCATTGGCCTTGGCCTCCTCTGTGCTGAGGAGAGAGATCAAAGACCATAAAAACTCCAAGAGTTCCTTTACATGACGGGAAGACAGGTGGGGGCGGGGAGGGGGCACATGCCTTTTGTGAAAGTGAGCAAAGAATAAAATGGGAGTGGTGTAAGTTCAGAAAATATCAGCAGCTCATTTTACAGATGAGGAAACTGAGACTTTCCCAGGGTCACACAGCTAAGAGTGTCTGAGGCGAGATAGGAACTCAGGTCTTCCAGGCCCAGCATGCTGTCCACTGAGCCACCCAGCTGCCTCCCATACTGCTTACTACCTTGTAAAAGCACACGTCTCGCCCCGGTAGGAGCCAGGATTGCTTCTTTCCCTGCTGCGCTTCCGTCCCCAGTGCTTAGCGTAGTGCCTGGCACATAGCAGGCATTTATTTAGTAGATCCTTGGTGATTGATTGAGTGAGTGAGTGAGTGTTGTTGCCAGGACTTGAGTTGTGATTCTCCAAGTCCAGTCTTTGTGAGGAGGGCGAGGAGAGTCCACTCAGGGGCCCCCTGGGGCTGTGCTTGTAGTAGCAGGAGGCTGATGCTTCCCAGGAGGAAATTACAGGAGAAGAGTCATTGGACCATATTGCAGACTGCCCGGACAGAAGGAAGAGCTCAGCGCGTTGGGCACTGAGTCGCTATTTTATGGGTTTGGGGAATTTCCACTCCCTCTCTCTGCCAGAAGCTGAGGTGCTCCTGACCTTTCTGAGAGTGGGTCCTCCTGTATCAGCCAGGCTGGAAGTGCAGTGGCCACTTGAGTTCTCATCAGCAGTCCTGGGCTCAGAGCTCAGACCTGCTCCATTTCCAGTCAGGGCCACGGCATCCCGGTGGCTCCACACTCCCATTATAGGGCTCCCTTGCTGGTGCCTGGCCTAGTGCAGACATCCCGTCAGGGTTAACTCTCCTTTACCTCAGTCAGTGTTGGCCCCGCTGCTAGCAGGGACTTAACCTGGAAACCTTGGGGACAAAAGACTGTACCTACCTATGGTTTGTGACAAAGGAGAGGAAGACGAGGTACCATCTGATGTGTGCCCTACATTTTGGGAAAGCAGAAAAGGCAGGGAGGAGGACCCCAGAGAGTCAAAATGCTTCTGGGGGCAAGGGGGGGAAAGAAGAGGCTCCAGGAAGGGCGTAGGACCTGGTGACAGCCAGTGACCAAGAGAAAGCAAGGCTGCCAAGGAGAATGAGGAAAGCATAAGAGAGTGCTTAGCTGGGCTGGATGATTTGGGGCTCCCAACCCAGGTGAATGACCACATCCTGGGGCCCCATCCCAAAAGAGGTGGCAGATGGGATCGCTGAGCTGGGACCAGTGATATTTGTGTGGTCATGGGAAATGGAGGAGGCACCGAGAAAGGCGTATGTCCCTGTTCTCCTCTGCCTGCTAGGCCAGTGAGCTTGACTTCAGTTCCTGGGGAAGTTTCCAAATGGATGATTAAAGAGGTGGTTGGCAAACATCTGGAAAGCAAGGCCTTGATTAGGAAGGGACAGCCTGCCTTCATCAAGAGCAGGTCATGCCAGACAACTCAGCCAGACAGTAAGGAGAATGGGAATGCTCTGAGGGTGACTGGCTCAGATGTCAGCAGCCTCTTGTCTCATCCTGTTCTCGTGGTGAAGATGGAGGGAGAGGCGTCGATCCGATGATGATACCATCAGTTGTATTTTGAACCTGTGGATGGCCAGACCCAGAGGGCTTGTAAGTGGTTTAAGTCTCTGGTGGGGAGTAAGCCCCTCAGGGACCTCTGCTTGGCCCGGGATATGGCTCTTAGTGACTTGGATGACGACAAAGATGGTAGGCTCATCCATCACATTGGCAGGCGACTTCAAGCTGCGAGGGAGAGCAGTTGCCCTGAATCCAGTTAAATGGTGTTCAGGAGGGACACATGTAAAGTCTTATACTTGAGTTCAAATAAATCAGTTCCACAAAGATTGGCTAGGGGTGGGGGGCATGGATAGATAGCAGTGGTCCTGACCCAGGGTCTGGCCGGCAAGCCCAGCGTGAGCCAGCAGTTGTAACGTAATGGCCAGAAAGGCTCCGGGGAGATCTTGGGCTGTGTCAGCCTGGGCCTGGGGCGGGGGGGCGCTCCCCTGACCTCCACCCCATCAGACTCAGTAGAATGTCTGGTCCTGGACGTGACGCTTTGAGCTGGAAGTTCTCCAGAGGCAGGCAGCCAGGCGGCCAGCCACGATGGGCACAGGGGGCTTGGCCAGTGAAGATGAGCCTGGAGAAGAAAATACGCTGGGGAGTGGGCTGGCTACATTCATGTGTTGGAAGGACTGCCACACAGGATGGATTAGGCCCTGAAGAGCAGAGAGGGCAAGCTGCCCTCAGGTACCATGGGCTCCCCCTTCTTGGACGTCTTCTGCAGAGGCTGAACGACCAGCTGCGGTCTCTCCCTGTGTAGCCGGACTCAGTAGCTGCCAAGGGCCCTTTCAGCCTGTTTCAGGAATTCTGGGACTGTGTGTCAGTGAGGACTCAGAAATGATGCCACTGGGCTCCTGGCTTCTCCTGTCACAGGGTACTCCGTCCAGACTCCAGGCATTTTCCCTGGCCTTCCCCCATGCCTTTTCCTCTCCACCTCTTGGCTTCCTTCCTAGCTCAGCCAGAGTCCTGTCTTCCGCCAGATGCCTTTCCCGATCCTCCTTCCTGTCAGCACCTGAGCGGCAGCCCTTCAGTGTATCCTGTCTAGATCTTGTTTGCACGTGATTGTTTATGTGTTGTTTTCCTCATTGCACCGTGAGCTCCTGGATACCCAGCACTTAGCACAGTGCCTGGCACATAGTAGGTGCCGATTGAAGCTCGTTGGCTTGCTGAAATGGCAGGATTTTCTGAAGTCGAGAAGCTTCTCCCTGTAGAAGATTAGGAACAGGAGCATCTTGGTGTATATTTTACAACCATCTCTCGGGCCAGGGGGATGTAGTCACAACACACTTCTAGGTTTCCTCTTCATTATCTAGACAGTCAACAAAACAGATCAAGCCCCAGCTTTGAGCCTTTGCCTCTTCACCAGCTACAAATGCTGACCCTAAAAACTGGCTCCAGCCCTTCCCTGAGGAGGAGGAGGAGGAGGAGGAGGAGGAGGAGGAAGTAATAACCACAATGACATCGGTGAGAGCAGTTTGGGTGATATCTTTGTGACTGTCCCCTTTTTGGGGCCTGGGGTTCTGGGAACCCTGGGAGCTTGGTCACAGGATTACAGGATCTAGAACTTGAAGGAAGCGTAGAGATCCTTTAGTTCAACCTCCTCATTTTTCCGAGTAGGAGACTGAGGCCCAGAGAAGAAAAATGATTTGCCCAGAGTCACACAGGTAGGAGATAGCAGTAACAGGTTTTAAGTTTGCTTCTTCAGACCCTAAAGCCAGGGGTTTGTCCACTGTCCCAGACTTAGGCCTGCCTTCAGTAGGCAGTATGCGCAGCCTTTGGAGGAACCCCTGTACATGTACCATGAGGGGGCCAGGCTGACTAAACCTGAGCATCTTCTATACATGCCCAGGCCCTCCTGGAGCAGGGAGGAGGGCCTTCACCAGGGGTGTCTGCTGAAGACCCTGTGAGCATGAGTCCCATCCTTCCCGCTGGGCCATAACCTGCTGATGGTTTTGAAGGCAAACTGTAAACCTCTATGGCCTGAGCTGCCAGGAAATAATAGAGAAGGGCTTTGGAGTCTCTGGAAAGGAAGGGTTATAATTAGGAAGCTGCTTTTTCTGGGTGGGGCTTTTCAGCTGGATTCCCCTCTGGAAAGATTAGAAGGGCCTGGGCTAGTTCCCAGCTCAGCTCCTCACCAGTGGATCTCCAGAAGACCAAGCTGTTTGTGAACCATCGCTTCTCTTAGCTCAACCAGGGCAGGCAGGGAGGGAGTTCACTGAGCTGTTGCACTTTTCTTCCTAAAGTCTTAATTTCTTTTTCTTGATTATATATTTTCTTGTCGTTCTCATGATTATGCCTAAGGCATAGGCTTGAAACCAGCTGTTGACCACTGGTGGCTTAACTTTTCTATGTAGACTCCAAAACGTTCGAATTCAGCTTTCTTCATAAGTTCGTATCATCTGCTGAGTTGTACCTGAACGTCATTCTGTCCTCATTGGAGGAACGGTCAGTGTTCCCAGCCTTCCCACCTCTCTGGGGCTTCCTCACTTCCCTTGAAGAAAACCTGACTATAGAAATCTGCCCGTGCAGAACCTGGTGGGGGGGGGTGGGTGTTGCATCGTGACATCTTTGAGGGGGAGACTCCTTTCAGTCTTTGTTCCCTGGTACGTTTATATGTGTGGAAATTCACTTTGATGCAGAGAAGTCAATCCATTAGGAAAACAGCTGGCATGTGTGTTGCGCACTTGATGGCTTAAGAGTCTCATTTGAATCCACACTATAACCCTGTAAGAGGGTGAGTTCAAGCGTTCTTTTCCATTTTACAGATGAGGAAACTGAGGTACCAGGGTATCTTAGGACTCAGAGGTGGAAGGGACTTCCGAGATTTGGGATAAGTAGCTGAAAAATCTGCTTCCAATTTTGGCCAATCAAAAATAAGAATTAAAAATAAAACTGTTTTTAATTTTTAAAGAGTAAAAGTACAGCTGTACCAGTGCCTCCCTGTTACTTCTAAGATCAAAAATAAATCCAGTGTTTGTCATTTAAAGCCCTTCCCAACCTGGCCCCCTCCCACCTTTCTACTTAATCCCCTCTCCCCGGTGACACCTGCCTTCTGGCAGCTCCTCATCTGCACGCTTTTTTCCCTGCTGGCCTCCCCCTCATCTCTACTTCCTGCCTTCTGTTCTGACTTCCTTTCCCAGCCCTCAATCTTAGTACCATCTCTCTATTGATTATTTCCAATTTATCCTGCCTATATTTTGTGTGCACGTACATGTTTGCCTATTGCCTCTCTCGTTAGACTGAAAGCTTCTTGGGGGCTCAGTCCGTGTTTTGCCTCTTTTTGTATCCCTGCACAGAGTGGGCACTTAATCATGCTTATTGATTGCCTGACTGACCGTTCCCCTTGGTTCTTATACATTAGAGGTGATTGAGAAAGCTCTGAAGGCCAACTTGCTAACAACAGAAGCTGACTCATAGCGGTAGCTCTTGGGAAGGCCAGCTGGATGTCAGGGATGCTGCCCAGAGCAGATTTGGGCTGAGATCTCCATTGGCCTCGATGCCCTCTGAGCTTTCGGGCCTTTGGGCCGTTCTCCGATTCCAGGGGCGGTCCAGAATAGGGGCGGTAGAGGGATGGAGGAGCAGGAAGAGTGTACAGTAATAGTAATTGATAAGAGGTGACGTATTTCTAACAGTGCTTTCATTTGGTCCTCACGGCAGCCTCCGAGGGGAGACTCTCCCCCAGTGGCCAAAGCCAGTGACCTCTGCCCTCTGCTTACCGAGCCTCTTGGCCTGGTTGCTGGGGCCTGTCAAGGATCGGTTTAGAATGGAGGTCAGGTGGATCATGGTCAGGATGTGAGTGCAGTAACTCCAGTCATGCTGAGGTTGGGGAGAAGTGAGCAGGCGAGAGCTCGCTCATGCAGCTAACTGACCCCTCTCACCCCTTCTTTCCTTTCAGAAATGTTCCCACTGCCAGGAGCCAGGTGCCACCTTAGGCTGCTACAACAAAGGCTGCTCCTTCCGGTACCATTACCCGTGTGCCATCGATGCAGGTAAGCAGGGGGCCCTGTCGCTCTCACCTCTTTTTCTTCTTCCCTGTTTCTCCTGTGGTTCCCTGGAGTAGAAAGAGCAGAAACAGTGAGGGAGGGGATGGATGTGTGTCCCCCACTTTCAGCCTCTCCTTGGGGTCCCGGTCCTCTTGTGCCCTTGTCACTTGTTAATGCTGAGCTGTGGTGTCCCCTGGACCCCAGCTGGTCATTGCATTTGATCTGAATTTTGGGTTCTGTTGGGGTTGTTTTTATTGCTGTTATCGTGGTCATCCAAATCCTCCAGTGTCTGGAGAGTCATTGCCTCAGAAATCTAGAGGATCCATCCTGCCCAACACCCTGATTTTACTGATGAAGAAACAGGCCCAGCACAGTGGAGGCATGAAGCTTCAGAGCTCGGATTCGCTGAGCCCTTGGGGGTCCAGGGGAGGCCAGTGATGGCTCCCCAACGTCCCTTCAGATTGCTCCTGTTCATCAAGCCATCCACAGACAGTGTGACCTTGGCCTTTCCCTGGGGGCCACTAGGGCGTCCACTCACTGGGCTCCAGGGATAGTCTGTTGTTGATCTCTGTGTCATCTCTGCTTGCTGGTTGACTGCGCTGACCTTTCTGGAGGACATCCTCTCCCGAGCGTCGCGGCTCTGAGAGAACGGCCCTGGAGCGAGGGGTGGCCTCCGGCCCTGCTCCTGCGTGCTCTTTGCCGTGTCACGGTGGACAAGCACCCAGCTCGTGTTCTCCATGTGTAGAAAGCAAGGAAGTGTTGTAGGAGGGGGGAGTGCTGACCAGGCTGAGTGACCCTTCAAATAAAACTGTCGCTGAAGCGAGTGGACATTCTATGGGAGGACAAAACCATTGTGGAGTAAAAGGAGTTGAGGCCAGAGTGCCCGAAGGAAAGCATCCTGACATTATGCCAGCAGGAGCGCCAGGCACGAAGCCGGGATAGAAAAGGGATGGATGAAATTGGAAAGATACCACAAGAGAAAACGCGGCCATTTGGAGCTGTGGAAAGGGGGTGGGGGTTGGGGGTTCTTCACGGAGCCAGGAAAATTGGAGACGGGACATCTCAGCCTTTGACTTCTCATCTCCTTTCAGGGAAATCCACAAAGTCAGCAGGCTTAGAGCGCCTACTTTGGGCAGGGCACTGGGCTGTGGCCCCAACCTCACGGTGCTTACCGTCGAGGTGCAGAGAAAAGACATGGGATGAGGCGGCGAGCAGAAATACCGTGAGAGGTCCCTGGGTCAGGCACCCAGCCTGACTTTTCCATTCCTGCCTGCACGCTATTCAGACCGACGTGGCCCTCGTTCACATCCTCCTCCCATCACCGCTGGCTCTTTCTAGTGGCCTCATTGGTCAGTCCTCCACAGGCTGACAAAATCTAAGCGTGCCACCCCGCTGCCACCCCACAAACTCCAGGGGCTTCCTGTGGCCTCTGGGATCAAACCAAAGTGCCTCCCTCTTCACGGGGTGCTCTGAGACCACCTTTCCATCTCCGCTGGCCAGACTGGCTTTCTGGCTCCACGTGACTGTGTCCAGGCCTGACTCTGTGAAGTCACACTTCACGGAAGGCCACTTTGTGAAGCCCGAAGCCTTCATCCCTTTCTCGGCAGGTACGGGCAGGGCAGGAGGTGGGGGAGGGCCACCTTTGGGGATCAGAGCCCCCAGGATGAGCTCCCATGGCACAGCCGATGGAGGCAGAAGATTTTCATTCAACTTCCAGCACTTTGCTCTTGCTAGCTGCCAGACCTGTGATGAGCTCCTGTTAACAGCTCTGAGCCTCAGTTTTCTCATCTGTACAATGGAGATGATCATTTGTGCACTACCTGACCACACTGGGTTGTGAGGACAGTGCTATAGAAACAGGACTTAGGAGCTGACCCAGCAGAGGGCGCTCTGCACCAAAGATTGGTACTCACCTTTCCTCCTTGACTTTGACCATCAGTGAAGTCCAGGAGGCAGCCCTGGCCATTAGCTGGGGGAGCCAGGACACCCAGAAGTGAAACCAGAGCCATCACTAGACATCCTGGCCCCGGGGGCAAATTCAGCTGAGGGGTCAAGGGTCAGCAAGTCCCGGGAGAGATGATGCAAGGGTGGGTGCAGCGGGACCAGAAGTGGGGCGATCTGTCCCCTCCCCTCTGGCCCTAAAGTCTGCTCCCACGCCCTCTCCTACGGCCCTCCTTCCCCCAGAGCCCCTGAAGGGGCATGGGCCGGGGGATAGCGGTCTCCAGGGTGATGGGAGGAAAAGTGTGCCCTGGTTCTAGAGCGCCTAAGCCCCAGCTGGCCCACCCTGGTTAGGGCTCTGCTACAACAAAGGGGTGCTGGGGTTTCACGGTGGGGGGCCTCAGGTGAAGCTGGGGAGAAGGGAGGACTTGAAGAAGTAGGAAGCGTCTGAATGGGTGGAACGGAGCCTTGTTCTAGAGCTGGGAGGGCCCTCAGAGTCATTGAGCCTGAACCCCTCGTTTTACAGAGGAGGAAACCGAGGCACAGAGCGGTCAAGCGACTTACACAAGGAGGGAGTGGAAGAGGCAGGATTTGAACCCAGGGCCTCTGACTCCAAAGCCAGTATGCCTTCCATTGTTCCGCATTCCCGTGTGTTTCTCAAAGGAATCTCTAAGCCACAGGATAAGGGTCCCAGGCTTTCTAGTCTGTGAGCCCGATTCCTAAGGTTCCATTGATAGTCTTTGGAGGCTGCCTTCATCACCTGCAGGGATGCCCTTGCCCTCCGCAGCTAGAGCCTGGAGGCTCAAGGAGAGGGAGAGAGAGCCAGGGAGGAGAAGAGGGAGCTGGGGTGAGAAGGAGAAGGACTCCAGGCATGTTGTCCAGGGCATTCCTGAACAGGACCAACATTCCGGGCTTCCGAGGAGGAAAGGGAGGGCGGAGGAAGAGATTGGAGGGAATGTGCTCTTTAGGCTTATAGGGTTTAAAGAATAAGACCTTTGAGGGGCAGTGAGGTGGCACAGTGTGTAGAGCCCCGGCCCCGGAGTCAGGAGGACCCGAGTTCAAATCTGGCCTCGGACACTTAACGCTTACTAGCTGTGTGACCCTGGGCGAGTCACTTAACCCCATTGCCCAGCCCAAGAAAAACAACAACAACAAAAAAGAATAAGACCTTTGAGAGGAAGTTTCTTGGACCGTTTAAAGTTTGCTAAGGACAAGGCTGTTGGAAAACTCTGTCCTCCATAACCAGCTTCCCTACCTCCCCATTCCATCTATTTTAAATAAGGTTCAGTTCATGAAAACTAAATTTCTCGACAATGTTTTGGTTTTGTTGTATAAAATGAGGTCCCCTCTGTAGTGCAGAGCAAGTGGTCCTGGGACAGGAAAGAGTGTTGAAGCAATGGGTGTAATGGAAAGACTGCTGGATTCAGCATCAGAGGACCTGGGTTCAAATCCTTGATCAGTCATTTACTGTCTGTGTGACCTTGGGCAAATCACAGAAGTTATCTGGGCCTCAGTTGCCTTATTTATAAAATAAGAGGTTTAGAAAAGAAGAGCTCATGTGACCTGGAATTCTAGTTCTTCCACTTATTACCTGTGTGACCTTAGACAAGTTACCTGTGGCTCAGTTTCCTCAACTGTAAAATTAGAAAGTTGGACTTGTTGGCTTCTAAAGTTCCTTCTACCTTCAAACCTATCATCTTACGACTTTGTATCTTGGCACTGACACTAACAGCGTGACCTTGGGCAAGTGACATCACTTCTCTGTGCCTCGGTTTCGTCATCTGTAAAATGAAGGTATTTGGACGTGATGGCTTCTAAGGCCCCTTCTAGACCTAAGTGTGTGAGAGTTAATCAGATGGGAATCAGAGCGTTTGGAACATCTCCTCATCTGCCTAGGAGAGACAGCATTGGGGTTTTCCTGGCCTTGCATTCCCCTAATCCTCATGCTTGCCTCTCTCACGCAGGCCGCCAGGAGTGCCTGGGGGAGCCACTAGCCAAGATGGAACTGTTCCTCTTTTTCACTAACCTGCTACAAGACTCCAGCTTTGTCGTACCCCCAGGGAACTCCCTGCCCAGTGACAAGGCCAATGTCTCAGTAATCTTGAGCCCTCAGCCCTTCCAACTCTGCGCTATGCCCAGATAGGAGAGGCGCCTGCCAAGGATCTCGACAAACTTGCCCTGCCCATGCCCCTCAACAGTCCCCTTTGACTAACCTGACTCCTCTTCTTTACCCACATAACCCCCTCCCCTTGGGCTAAGGGATCATGGTACTGGCATCACAGGGAATAAACTACCTTCTCAGCTCACACCTTCTGCCTTTGAATCTTGTGGGCACTTTCCAGATGAGTGGGAGCAGTAGCCACACCAGGTATGTGCCAAGCCCCATTTTCTGAATGCCAGCTTGCCTCTGGGCACAACAACCAACAGCATAGCCTCTCTCTCCCACTCGTTTGGGCCTGGGACAGCTAACCAACCTTCAGCTGCTCATGGTGGCTTTCTCAGAATAGGAAAGGGACTTGCCTAGGTCATAGAGGGACGGGTTTGCAGCTTGGATCCACAGCTCACTTCTAGTGCAGGACTTTCCAAAACAACCATGTGCCTCCAGCTGTTAACGGACAAGTCTTTTCCCCTCTGGACCCTTCCAGTTCTGGCATGGGAAGCACTTGGCCCAGCTCCCTGTGAGGACAGCACCTTGGAGTTTGTTCATGTCATCTGTTAGTATCTGAAACCTGGTGGGCCATGCTAAGCTCTGCAAGGAGTAGTGGAGGAGGTGAGAATGAGGCCCTGACCAACCTTATCTGGCTGGGGGGCTAGCAGAGCAGAAGCAGAGGGCCACAACCATGGCACGTGATCATTGCTTGGGGTTACACCAGATTTCCAGAGAGAAAAGGCATCTGGCCTAAGGTCTTATGTCCCAAACAAGGCCAGGTCAGCTATGATAAAGGGACATCGGGCCATGGACTCCCCTCCCAGGCCTCATGTTGGCCTGAACACCACCCAGAATGTGGCTGGGAAATGGAATTAGTCTCACACTAAATGATGCCTAAGGACACTCCTCACCCTAAACCCTGGGATCCTAAATTGATCTATTGTTGGAGTGAAGACCCAACTGAGCATTTGCTGAAAATTCACTGTACCTATTCAGATCGACAGCAGAAGAATAGGATGGGACAGCCTCCCTCAAGGGGCAGTGAGTGGCACCACCCTACCCTCACCCCCACCAGGTGTCCCATAGACAGGAGCCTCTCTAATCCATTGCCAATGGCAGTTTTTAAAATACAGAGAGAGGCTCCTTTTTTGGGCCCTGTTTCCTCAGTGGTTAAAGATGGTGTTTGTGAGATAGAAGCCATGTGTCTCCTATACACGTGGAACTGGGAGGGGGCTGTCCATGAATCCTCTCTTCCTTTCTCTTTTTTCTAGAAAGATTAACTAAAGCCCAGGTTGAGACAGGTAGAAGAAAGCTCCACCCCAGCCCCATTTTACTGGACCTGAGGCCCAGAAAGGGGAAAGAGCAGCATGAGACAAGTTGAGGGTTCCTGACTCCCACCGAGCCCTTGGAACCACTTGGTACACCATGGGCGTTTTGAGTTAGGTAGTGTCTGTGGAGGCCAAGGGCTTCGATAACGACCTCACACTTGGCCGTTGGAATGGTAGCAAGCCCTGGCCAATGGCTTCCCCGTAACAGATCATGGGGTCTGTGTGGGAGAGATGACCTTTTAGGCCCCAGGAAGCTTTCTAGGTTAGCTCCATTGGTGCTGAGCTTGGGCCTATTTGCAGGAAGTTTAGCCCCTCCTCTTTCACATCCCAGACTCTGTGCCCAGTTTGTATGAGCTGGCCAGTCTGCCATGCTTCCTTTGTTGCAAGGCAGACCAGGAGTAACAGCTGATGGGGCTCTGTCTTGCAGGCCCTCGGGCAGTAATGTGGACAGCCTCCTGTGCCTCCGGGG